AGAGAGAGAGAGAGAGAGAGAGAGAGAGAGAGAGAGAGAGAGAGAGAGAGAGAGAGAGAGAGAGACAGAGAGAGAGAGAGTCGTTGGCACCTTCTGGCACTCTTACCCTCACCTTTCTCTGCTTTGGTTCTCCCCTGTATCCGCCTGTCGTCTCCTCTAGAGAGAGAGAGACTGTTGTTAACTTGTTATGTTAGAAAGGATAGCGTCGCAGACGTCAGGTGTTCTGTGCTGGTTCTTGTCCACCGTCTTCCGTTTCGATGAAAGGAAGAAGTTCGCAGTTCACGTTTGTTGCCCTCGGACATCTCGGCATTTCTTTTACCCTCAGAACAGACCACCCGCAGATGGGCAGAAAGGAACCCGAACCCACCCATAACGACCGTAATTGACAGCGTCTTTCACTGTGTGCATGCATGTTTCAGTACTTGATGTTGATTCTTAGTCCTATACTGAATGGGATTTTGCTTCCCATCAATTCATGATCCTATACTCGATGGGACACTCATGCATGGAATAGGAGTTTGCATTCAAGTTAGGAGTGCATGCGAACGCAGTGCAGGACCTGCCGTATACCATAGAGCTTATGATGGATATTTCTCTAGTGCGTCTCCAGCTGGGGCATTGCCAGATTCAGCATCATCTTTAACTATGGTGGTTTTGCATTGTAGGTCTTGCCTGCATAGGCAGGGCCAGCCGGCCACGCGCAGGCACTCTCGGAATTCCCGGAATGTCAGTGCTGTCTCATAGCTTACTGATTATCATGTATGGTCCCGAGGACAGGGCTGTACTTATTTTTTTGGCGGAGGACCGATCACAGGAGCTATCTACATTGTTAGAGTGGCTCGCACTTCGGGACCTTCTCTTGATGCAAATTCATCTCTTGTCTAACGGTGGACGCCACGTCTTGCTGGCCGAGGGTCGTTCACAGAAGCTATCAGGAACATTCTAGTGGTTAGGGCTTCAGAACCTTCTTGCTGCCGATCCATCTCCTGTCTTGTGACGGGCCTTAGGTGTGACTTGGTCCATCTCCTGTCTTGTGACGGGCCTTAGGTGTGACTTGGTCCATCTCCTGTCTCGTGACGGGCCTTAGGTGTGACTTGGTAGTTAGAAAAATGATGAACTCTCATCTTTATAGCGGCATTTGATAGATAGATGGTCATCCTTGAGCAGACTCTGTGATCCAACGGTCCAGGATGTTACTGACCGTGGGCCTTGCTTGTTCCCTACGGAAGCAAGGTATTGTATGTGACGGACTACCAGGATGTGTGCGGAATGTGCGACAGTGGTTCAGTATTAGCAGAGAGGGAGCGGGAGAAGAGTGGTTGAACTGCGTTTTTGGCTCGAAATTCAAAATTTTCCTCCGTCTGTTGTTGTACTTCTTGTGTGTGAAACCTATTGTATCCATTTCTATTCAATATTCTCGGGACATGTCGTATTGACAGTGTCCTACCTCTGGTTGGTAAATTTGGGCAGAGGTAAAGGAGCAACAACAGGACTGTGGCCTGGTGCTATGGCTGCATGTCATATGTAAACAGAGGAGCAAACTGCATGCTGATTCAGACTACTAGGGCATTACTGCATGATGTTATGTGAAACCAAGGACTGAATAGTGCAAACTGGACAAACGGGAAAATCAACACGCAATTCTGGCGGGGACGGGCAGCTTGAAACGACGGTTATGTACTTTGAACTCCAGACTGGTTAGTAGAAAGCGAGACTTTCGGGACTGGGCTCGCTTTGGCGTCGATCGGGACGAGGCAAAAATGTCGTTGGCTGACATGTACAACAGCCGCATTCGGCCTATGCTTGATGCAATCGACAAATTGCGCAGTCTTGGAGTGAAGGATGAAGGTATCAAGCTCCCGACGATCGTTGTTGTTGGTGACCAATCGAGCGGAAAGACATCTGTACTAGAATCTCTATCAGCCGTTACCTTGCCACGTGGACGAGGAATCTGCACTCGTGTTCCTCTCATCCTTCGACTGCAGTCAGTGTACCATGAAGATTTTGACGAAGAGGAAGCAAATCTGGACTTGGATGCTGAAGGAGATTGTGACAGATCGGCGAAACCTGACTTGAGCATCGAGGAAGATTCAGCTGCGGAGGAGAGTGGACTGTTGCGCAGTGGTTCTGCTGTGCTGTGCAGGAGCAAAAATATCACCACTTTGAAAAAAAGTTGTAAGGTGGTGATAGAATATGGGGATGTATGCAAAGAAGTGAGTGAGTCCATGATCGAGTCTGCAGTGCGGGAGGCGACAAACTTGCTGGCAGGAACTGGGAAAGACATCAAGGACTCGCCGATCTCGATGACAGTGACTCGTTCAGGTGCACCTGACCTAACGCTTGTCGATTTGCCTGGTATCACAAGGGTTCCCATCGAGGATCAGCCCCGCGATATCTATGAACAAGTCACAAAAATGATTAGACACTACATCGAACCAGAGGAGAGTATCATATTGAATGTCATATCGGCAGCTGTTGACTTCTCCACCTGTGAATCAATTCGCATGTCACAGGAGGTGGACAAGACGGGCGAGAGAACGCTGGCTGTTGTGACAAAGGTAGATCGTGCAGCGGATGGGCTCTACGAGAGGATAAAAGAGAATGCTGTTCATGTGGGGTTGGGGTTCGTACTCGTGCGAAATCGCACAGAAACTGATCGGTCATACGAAGATGCGCGGCGTAAGGAGGAGCTATTCTTTGAGAAGAACTCGTCACTGGCTCCTCTTCGGGAGAAAGGCATGCTGGGTGTTGCTGCGCTTGCTGAGAAACTGACGACGATCCAGGGGGAGAGGGTGGCACGTTCGTTGCCGAAAATCCGGCAGCAGCTCGGGGAGCTGCTAGCAGAGCGCACAGGGGAGCTGGCCAGGCTGCCACGTGGCATTTCGTCGGAGGCTGAGGCAGGGTCACTGTTGTTTTCCCTAGTTAGCTCAAAAACTGAGATATTGCAGAGGCTCATGATCCAGGGGGATTACAGAGAGGAGAACAAATCCCTGCACTTTGCTGCAAGGATTTACAGTATGCTGTCCCGTTTTGATGAAGAGTTGTCCAACGTGGCATCGGATTTTGCAAGTGCTGACTACCGGAAGCGTGTGCTTGACGTTATGGAGTGTGCAAGGGGCGTATGTCTACCAAACTTCATGTCAAACCCGGTCTTTCAGCGGCTCGTGCGAGAGGAAGTAGCCAAGTGCACCAAGGTTTGTGAAGGAATCATTCCTGTTATTTGCAAGTATGCGGAGAGTGTTGCTCTGTTTGCCAACGAGGCAGCAATGGGGACATATCCATTCCTGTGTGAGCGAGCAAGGACGGTAACATTGGAGGTGCTGGAAGATGTTGAAGATAGCTGCCTTACTTTCGTTCGGCGGATGCTTGTCAAAGCGGCAGACATAATATATGTCAGTGACAAGCAATATGCTGAGATGATGAACAAGGCTCGGTCGATAATCCCCTCTGCCCCGGCCAATGCCGAGGTCCAGTCTGCTCGAGAGATGCAGGTAAGCTTGTGGTCTTACTGGCAGATCTTGCACAGGCGGTTGGCAGACGAGATACCGATTGAACTGAAGTACGCAGTCCAGGAAGCATTACTCAGAGAGGTGGACCGACGACTTTTGCATTTTGCAGGGAGCGATCGTGAACAACTGATGGAACTGATGCAGGAAGCACCAGCGACATACCGAAGGAGAGAGGGCCTGAGAAGGAGCATTCGGATGCTGAAGCATGGAGTGGAGCTAGTCTTCGCACTGCCACAGTGGTCTACTTCGACGGGCCCTTCCCCCCTCTTTGGTGGAAGATCGGATGTGAGGGCGGACACTGATCGACTTCATCCAAGTGGGCCTCTTGGGAATGCCTCTGAGGGTGTGGCTGTGGCTACCACATCAAAAGCACCTGGATATGTCCCCGAAGCAGACAGTGGAAACGGGACAGAAAGTGCCAACGGAACCCATATGGCTGCTGCCCTCATTGGAACTGGTGGTCGGCTGATGATGGGCCTTCTGCCGCGAGGGTTCCAGAAGTCTCGACTCCCTGCAGGCAATTCGGCAACAGACTTGTCCCGGTGGCCGATATGAGTCACTAGCCATCATCATTCAATGATGGTCATTATTGGATATCGATGACGAAAATCGGAGTCGTGGACTGTGTCTAGCATGAAGGTCTCTCAAGCAGTGAATGGGTCTCACTCGTCTACATTATGTATGCATCCGTTGCCGTGCATTGGTGTTGAAACGCTGGTCATGTGGGTGATGGTCCCTTAGCCAATCAGTGACTTTTTCATACTAATTCTAAGAGGTGGTGGTGATTATGCGGGAGGACCCTGGAGGAGGGAGAACGAGAGGGGGAGGAGAGAATGAGGGGGGTTCTGAAAGTGCAGTTGTTTCTTTGATTTGCGTGTTGGCAATTGCAATGGTTTCATCAACCGTGATGATTAAACCGGCGGCCAACAATGACTGATTTTCCAGATCATTTTTTTGATTACAAACCAAATATGAATGGTGTCGACCTTGCATTGTTCTTGATCTAAAGTCGCTAGCCCAGTATGCTGATAAGTGATTGCAAAAATGGTCACTTGTTCATCATCCGGATTGATTAGCCCATGCTACTGTAGTCACACCAAGAGTATGTTTTTTTTGGAGATGTCACTCTAAAAAATGTGGTCCCATGTGTGCATGATGTACTTCTGGTGTGAGTGCGTGGATGTTTGCATGACGATCGCTGTCTTCACGTCCTTGCTGGCCACAGTCTGACTGTTGCTAGGATGCTGAACGTACTCACACTGGGACCTTTCGACAGAGTTTGGCCCTTGACTGAGGTCAGATACGTTGAGGAAATTCTCCACTGACTCAGTGAGAGCATAACGCCCTTAGGTAGAAACGACGCCCAGCAGGCAGTTGTTTTTCCATCCTTTCTCCACTTTTTCTTCATCATCAAGGCAATCAATCCACACTGCCTCAGCAGTCGACAATCAGGATGGAATATTTGTTTCCTTGGATACTCCTCAAAATGTTTTACTTCGCCCGCGGGGTTTCGAACTCTGGTCCGAAATTCAATAGTCTGCTCGTGGGGTTACCAACTGAGCTACGCCCTTTATTTAGAATATAATATATATACTTGTCCAATCCTCATCGCTATTGCGTTTGCCATCTCTCATCGCTGTCTTAGTTTTGTGCATTTTTCTCTTCGTCATTCCCCTATCATTCAATGCATGCAGTCTGCTCTGTAATGCATGGTCGGCATTATGGTGCTGCCGGCTGGGTACCTTAACCATGACGTGACCGTCTTCACACTGTGTTGATCTTCGTGTTGTAGAGATCGGATAGGTCACACAGGTCGTCATGGTAAACCTTGAGTCATGGTCAAACTTGTGGTTGTTGTGAGCACACTCTGACTGTCACAATTTCTAGTTTCAGCGATTCCTGACTTACTCATTGTATATGTTCATTATAAGATAATATTGGTGAACACATCCTCAGTGGACAAGAATGGAGAAGAACCTGGACATGCATAAGGGGACTCCATGGGGTACTTCTTCAGTGGGTTCAATTTGGGGTCATCAGAAAACCCCTCTTCAGGATATGACTTCAGGGCCGCTCTCGCGTCTCGTCAGTATTGATTCACATGTTTCCGGATTTGTGTATTTCTTCCGGTCACGTCTGAGGAGCCACCCTCCGCAGAGCTGCCCGTGGCATGAGTTCAGTATCATGCTCCTCTGTGTATGCCTTCCTCTCTGCTGTCTACTCTCTGCACTAGAGTTTGTGGATGATCCTGCTTGTTTCTTTTTTTTCTTTCTTTCTTTCTTTGTTGATTTTAATTTTTTTGGATGGGTGATTCTTTTACCCCCTGTCACTCTCCCTTGTGACGTCCCCGGTCCCAACTCCACTCGTCTTATGTTACTCTGCGAGACAGACGACCTTCGTCTTGTAGTGATCATTGTTTGCTGGACCAAACGATTGATCTTATCTATCGTGCTACGTGTTTCCGCACATGGGGTGATCTGCATGAAACACCCACCCAGATTTGTTCTTCTCATCCTACTTCCTTGGGCTCGAGTGATCTGCATGAGCGTCGGAGCTCTTGTCGATGACTTGATTGATGGCCGTGAATCCCTGCAAATGAGACGATTGGGATGTAGAGACGCACACAACTTACACACTTGCATTGGACCTCTGTTTCCATGATTTCTCTTGCCACTGTTCAGGTGGCGTCCTTGTTGATTGTCTTCATACTCTGGCAGGGGTCCAAATGGCCCAACAGAGTAATACCTGCCTTCTTTTTTCACAGTTATTTTGTTCTGTTCATCTGATTGTATCTTGATTCAAACTTGGTTCTGTATTGCAAGCGTTCGTGACCGAGAGTGATGCCTTCCTGATTAAGGCCAAATTTGATTTTCGCTCCGCAACTTCCTTTGGGAGGATAATTGGGAGGTCAATCGAGAACATGATTTGGAGGGTCAGGGAGGGGACGGAGGGACGGGGACAAACCGCCTTGGCCTTGTTCCATATCCATACTGTTGCAGTATGGAGTGAGGAGTGCTCTGTGCCTCCTGATTATCGCACATGGCGCACAAGTCGAAGCTGTTGGCGTCCAAGCATTTCCTTTCTACTCGTCGAGCCATTTTGGTTCAATGGAAGTTCTGTGTAGTCTAGCAGCCATGTCTCACACAAGTTACACTGGTGGTGACAGTGGTGTGTCTTATGGTGTGGGGATTTGCCTTTCAGAATTAGGTTGATTGCATCTGGATACGAACGTGGGTCTGTATTTCGACGGTGCATGGGTGTACCAACTGAGGTAGGCCCGTTGGTACGATCTACGAGTGTCAAGGTTTGACTCAGTGCCAATTTGTGGCACCGTACTTTACCACACAGTGTTGACTTTTGCCGTCTTCTTTTGTTTATTTTGGCAGTCCATAAAGTCTGAGTTAGTTGCCACAGAAGATTCAATTTGTAAAGGTTCCGATAGGAAAGACATGTATCTCAGGTTTGAACTGTTTTCAGCTCAGGTTATGATAGTATACGTATTTTCGACATGTCTCCCTGTTTACCTCAAGCTAGCTGAACTGTCGGACCAGCAATCGCCGACATGGGATGAAGTCTAAGTACGGCACGTCTGTGCTCAAGTGCACATCAGAGAGGTGGACTTGTGTAAATGTGTAATTGCCTGAGAGCCTTACTCTTGGCATGTAGGATGTTAAAAATGTCTGAGACTCTTACTATTGCGTGTAGCATGTAAATGCCTGAGACTCTTACTCTTGTATGTAGCCCAAGTACATATTGTCATAGTTAGGGTTCCTTACGCTGATCGCCTCTCCCATCCTCCTCCTTTCAAGGAAATGACATACAGGCCCTTCTCCATGGGCTTTCTCTTTGACCCTTCATGACAGCGCAGTGTGACTTTTTATCGCTTTTAGTTGTTTGTTTTTTTTTAGCCTTCAATTTTTATTTTTATTTTTTATTTTTCGTGTTCTATCCATCAAGATAACTCACAGACTGGACTTGGTGTCCGTCGCCTCTTTTTTTTTTTTTTTTTTTTTTTTTTTTTTTTTTTTGTTTTTTTTTGTGTTTGTTTTTTTTTTTTTTTTTGTGTCCTTTGCCTTTTTGGCATTTCCTCTTCTTTTTTTTTTCGTTCTTTCTAAAAGGGGAATGGTGTTGGGGGATGTGTCTCTTTGTACACTGACCGTTCCCAGGGGAATTCAGAGTTACACATCTGGTTGCTGTGGAGTTTTGAACCCGGGTCTGTGTTTCAACAGCTCATGGGTGTACCAACTGACCTAGGCCAGTCGGCGGCATTTCCTCTTCTGTTTTTTTTTTTTTTTCTTTTTTTCTTTTTTCGCAGCCTGTCGACTGGATTGTAAAGGTGTGGGCAGAGAAACTATTGAGGGTCTTCCGATGATCGCCTATTCTGCTTACTGTACTCGTTGAGCGTGTTGATGCTTTCTTCTTTGGTTGTGACACTTGCATCGAGTGTTTGTCTCCTTTCATGCGGTCCCTCCTTGCAACATCCCTGAGGCCATGTGTCACTGCATATTCTCTGGATGTACCTGACCTCAAATTTTCAGGCAGGTTTTGTCGAAAAAGTCAGTGTGTGGGTACACACCCTTTAGATCGCCCTGTACTTTGCTCGGCAGAGCATGTTGTCGGCACTTGAGCTGAGGTTTTCGGATCTCAACTGAGTGTTTTCTACTGTCCGTTCTTTTAGAACTTGCTGGAACCAAATGCGAACCGAGGTAGCTGCTTTTGCGAACCAAAGTGGAACCGAACAGAAGCTGAAGAGCGGGAACCAGATCGAAACCAAACAGGACTTGAATGGGAACCAAACAGGACCCAGACTGTAACTTAATCCTCATCATGGTGCTTCTGCCATTGCAAGTGGCTCTACTGATGCTGCTTTTCAAGGAAAGCTGCTCTGTGAAGCGAATGGAAACCGGACAGGGTACCAGACAGGAACTAAATCCTCACCACGGCACTACGAGAACCAGATGGGAACGGAATGGGAATCGGACGGGAACCAAATGGGAACCAGAATGGGACCTGGATCAACTCGAACCGAATGGAAACCGGACAGGTGCAAGACTGGAACTGAATCCTAACCATGGCACTACGAGAACCAGATGGGAACGGAACGGGAATCGGACAGGAACCAAATGGGAACCAGAATGGACCTGGATCAACTGCTGGAACCGAATGGAAACCGGACAGGTACCAGCCTGGAACTGAATCCTCACCATGGCACTACGAGAACCAGATGGAAACGGAACGGGAATCAGACGGGAACCAAACGTGAACCAGAATGGACCTGGATCAACTGCTGGAACCGAATGGAAACCGGACAGGAACCAGACTAGAACTAAATCCTTAGCACGGCACTACGGGAACCAGATGGGAATGGAACCGGAACCAGAAAGGAACTGGATCCCTACCATGGCGCTTCTCTAGTCCCAAGTTCCGGGTGCCTCTATTGATGCTGCTGATCAAGAATCATGCCTCAACAAGATTTCAAGACGGTACAAGAAAGCGGCTGCTCGTACAAAATTCTCATTACGCGACTGAGTTTGAA